GCTGAACATACACGGTAATGATTACCGAAAGGACATGCGATAAACAGGACACAATAACAATAAGAGTTTTGAGCAACCAACATTCTTAGAGACAAACACTTTGAGTAGTTATTTAATATTTAGCATTTAGGTAGTGGCGAAATGATATGGACTATAGAAGAGTAGCGTCACTCCGTCCTTAAAAACAGTTTTTGGCGAGGTGTCTGAAATTACATTGTGGTAAATCAAATCCTACATGCAGTTAAACTGTGAAGTCTGTGATATAGCAGCTACTCAGAAGGAAGGTAAACATCCAGGAATGAAGGTCACCTGAAGGATTGTTTTACGTGTTGCGAAACTAGCAGCAAGTGGGGTGCTAATATTTCGATGCTCCGCTAATGATGTAAAGGCGACTATTGTTATTCTAACATATTTGGAATTTGAGACATCGTCGCTTAAGTTGTAATGCCACTAAACGCAAAGAATAACTTATGTATTTGCTTAAAAAAGGCACCGTGATTGCCGGAATGTCATCAGTAGGAACTATTAGCTTATGAGGTTTCATTTGCGACTAGGCAAAAATGGAGGATAGCGACTCCAAATGCCCACCGTGCTTTTATGCTCTCCTAAAAAGTTGTTAGTTTTAAGTTACATCGTGCTGGAACTATTTTTATTGAACAACTAAATTTTTGTGATTCATGACTGGGTAGTACCAAAAAGAAGAAAATACTATACAAATTTGTTATTTAGTTTTGCATTCTACGTCAATGATTATTGCCAAACATTTCCAAAGTAGATCATTCAAGTATATTCGAGAAAATAGATGTGATGTTCCATTTTTTTATTTAATTTTATACTCTTCAGACTACATTATTCATGTTCTCTGAAAAATAAATACGAACATTCAAAAAGCAAAGTGATGGTTTTCACCTACACTGAAAAAGCTTTTAGAATGTAAGCACACAGTTTGGAAAATCTGCTTTATTTCTGGTTACTAAGTTTAGCGCTCTTACACTCATTTTCAAACTTGTCACCGAAAAATAATTCATTCCAACCTCTGTTAGAATCAGTATAGTAGTTACTGATATTGCACAATGTCAAGGAAACCAGAACTACAGGTGGGTTATCGCCAATGGGTGGAACGCTATAGCACTCTATTTTTCAAGCTTATTTTCCAGAAAATGCTATTTATCATATATCGTCAAGACAGAAAAAATATAATATGTATTATCCTGTATAAACTCAATTACTCTATGACATGACAAACTACGCATTACTCTGTTGAAATCAATAACATTAAAAGTAGGGAACCCATTCAGGTGAACCATCCCCCTGTAACCTTTCTTCCGTTTATTTGGATATCTTGGTCGCCTCCAGGCAGTAAATCATAAACAAAAAAAACCTATTGTATTCCGGCATGTGTGTGGGTGTATCTATCCAGTTGAAGGGTGGATATAAAGCTCAAAGCTGGACATACACGCTTAGCAGTCTGGTTAACTATTATGGATATTCAGATTCCTGATTCCGCCACAATATGATCTGTATGAATATATTGGTGAACAAATCATAATCAACTGTCTCTACCCAAACTCCGCCGATACACGACGCGAATTCGTACCTAAAATCTCCCAGAAGCTTCATTCCAGCCAGGGCCCTTTGATTTCTTACCTTTCGTCTTTCACGCATACGCAATTAGTCTATAAACTGTTCAAGTTGATGATTCCTTTATTACCAACGGCAGATTTGAGAGTGGAAGAATTTGCGGCGTTTTTTAAGATAATGATATATCGATTTTCCTATTTTTAAATCTTCAGAACACAACAATTGAAAATACGAAATATACACACTCCTTAAAGTGTTTTGAAGGGTAATCCATGTAAAATTTCTCTAAGAATTCTAGTTGCTACGCTCAAAACTCTTATTGTTATTGTAACCTGTTTATCGCATGTCCTTTCGGTAAACATTACCGTGTATGTTTAGCTTTTGCTCAGACGGTGGTAAAGGAGATGAAAGAACTAAACCGACAATAAATTATACAGGAAAAAAGAGGGACCCTCTACATAAAGACAGGTCGCAGAAGGAAGTGTTTCTGCTCCCCTGATTACTCATTGCTGACGGTCTGTTTAATAACTGGTCAGTCAGATTCTCAAACAGAGATTAAGAGATGAATTTTTCTATGGTAGGTCAAATATTTGGCATTCAAGCCAAAAACGTAGGTTGCGCAAACAATAAATTATAATCCATCAGCTCATTGTTATAATAAGGTAGTGAGAGGTTCAATAAAAATTCAAATGATTATGGAGTATATATAATATAGTATTAAGTAATAAAATAAAACAGTCAATTCCATGCAATTAAAATAATATCCTTTAAAATACAAACAAGTAATAAATCAATCTAGAATTCTCAAAAAATGCATATTGTTATTCAAAATCGATTTCCATTATACATACAATGTTTTTATACTATACACTGCAAGTGTACTGTGATCAAAAAGACTATAATTTACCGACATAACAAACTGATCTGCTATCTCCGCGCTGGATATACCCATCTCATAACATTTGATGATCATTCGTCTCTCACGCGGGGTTGTTTGTTGTCGAGACATTTTCTTTCTTCTACAATACTATTGCTCTCCAGAACACTCAAAAAACAACTGATTATCCATGCTAAATCCACTACTGTCAATTTCTTTGTAAGCCAAAAACACAAAATACAGCTTTTGTCTTTGAGGTGGCGCGCCGCCGACTACATAAGCGTACCCGCTGGTTGTTCCACTTCCACATTCATAAGAAAAAATTACATGGATTACTCTTAATACCTATTGAAATTTAAAATACACTTTTGTTTCTCAAATGTCTGGTAATATTTTAAGACTAAAAACATGATAGTTTCTTTGATTAATGCATTAATTTGTAAATTGAATCAAGAAGGACTTATTCATTTTTTATTTACTTCGTCGCCGCCGCTGGCTGGGTGCAATCCGAATGATATTAGACAGAAGCGCGGAACTCTTTGAGCTAGGCCCACAGATCCCACGTCTCTGTTCCTGTTCGGTATGGGTACACCGGCGTATTCATGGGAGGGCTTTGGTGCTCCTCGGAGTCTACCCTCCCGAAGCGCAACAGCTCATTACGCTTCTTCTACATATTACAGCATGTTATACCTTCTGTGAAGTGTAGCTACCTGGACTAAGCGAGTCCCCCCCCCCCTCTGCTATGCAGTTTTATATCTCCAAGACACTCCTCCCCGCCCAGAGACGAAATTTTTGTGTAACCCTGGATCTTGAGCCTCCCCCCAGATCTTTTCCTGGATAACACCACTGGTTGAGCAATATCTCAATCTACAGGAAACAATTACTATCGCGAAATCAACCACAACAGTGGCTCCTACAAATAATTTTTATGTTCACATTTCAAATTTCCGTCATCGGACTAAACTAGTCACAGATAAATAAAATTAACAAATCATAACTGATCATAATTGTTTGTATTTGCATTGGGAGGATTTCTGGAAAAGCAAAAATTCTATATATTTGGTTTCTGCCTAAATATGCTGAACCTACCAGTATGTCTACAAAGTAAGAAGCATGTAGACCAGAATGCAGTCTTGTATAGACACAGAAAGTGGTTAAACTACATACTGGTGAAATACTTTTCAGAGCTAATGAAATTAGTTGCAAGAAGGATAAATAGCCAGCGCTAATTTCGTAAACTAAACGTTTTTCATATTGATATTTTAGATGAGAATGTTCAGTTTCCAAACGTAACTATGTTCGGTAGCCTAGCACTTACGGCTTGTCTATTCAATAGCAAACATCCAACCTACCATATCACAATTAATAAAACAACCTGCTTCACCCTGAATATTGAAATTTGAAAGAAATATTTTGCTTTTCACAAGCCTGGAGGTATATTACAAATAAAGATGTAATCTGCTTTGAAAATCACGCCATATTGGGAATTTAATTAAGCCTACACCTGATCAACAGCAATAACCCACCGCCACTGGAGACAACCAAGCCATGCGCCTCTATAGAATGCGGTACCTTACATCTATAATTTATTGCTCGGACATTACCTTCCAGTAGCAATCATGCTTTTTAGATGGCTCATCTGTCTACCATCAAATGTACTTTTATTTTGAACATATAGGAAGAAAATCTATTTTGTTACAGAGTTTAGATTTTTATCATTTCACACGCTTTGTACTCTCATAATTTCAGCATTCTATTGGCTTCCCTGGAATAATTTTTTGTAAATATCACATTTTCAAGCATATTTTAGAGTTAGCAAATGTGATATATATGTGATATATGTGATATGATGTGGCTTTGTTTTAAACATATAAATAGAAAATCTAATATTTATCTACGAAGTTCAGAATATTTTTACTGGATTATGAAATGATTTAAATTAAATTTCTCTTAAAAAATGTGCTTTTTAAGCGCCAATCAGACAACATGACCTCATCGAAAGTGAAAATTACGTCATGCCATTAATACACCATAATTCCATAACACCTCAACAAGTGTCTTCGTATCTGGAAATGTTCTGATTAGGTATTATGGTATTACACATGTTTGTTTTGTTACTCACATCGAAATGGCTTTGACAAAAAAATTGTTGATTTCGGCGACCGTTGCCTCACATTTCTCCCAAATTCTTCTTATATTTAGTTTTGCTAGGACATGTGTTTAAGCTTTGGAAGGGTGCACTAATAGTGGTACTGCCGCAATGAGGAACATAAGAGGATTGATAATAATTTTCAGCATTCTCAATAATTAGCTCAGGCTTTCGTAAAATGTAAGGCTACACTGGCATGTTAGATGTTCCATGCTTATTGAACACTGGTGCCATAGGTCACGTGATGTAAATGTAAATTGTAGATCGCATTCTATTTGCATTTAAAGTTGAAATAAAAAAGTATGAAGTACCCAGCATCTGGTCTATTGGACTCGTTTCCATCTATCGACAGATAAAAAACTTATCTATCTTACTAATGCCAATGTTTTTTAGTTAATGAAAGTGGATGCAACTAGTTTGTTCACACAGAAGGTGTGCGAAAGTTTTGGACTTGAGGTAGAAAAGGCCGAAAGATACGGAGATTTTAAGGACAAAGATGGGAAGAAGATTTACGACACGAAACCGCCACATGACTACTACAAACTGATGGTTAAGGTGTTGAAAGGGATTCGAAGCACAGATTGAAGTACCAAAAAGTATTAGGTATCTTTCGTATATCAAATGACATACTCACATGCTCAACCATGAGAGCTATTTTTTCAATTCAAGGTTTACAGAAATGTGTTTATAAAAAACAAGTTTTAACTAATGAACGCTCACTTGTCAGCATTGTACTTGCTTTAACAATCCGGGCCTAAAAATATTAGGAAAATCGAATTAGGAACGACCTGCACCCACCTATTTAATGGATGAAAAGTGATACCAAATGTATGCTAAAAAATATATCACGAAGGGTTAATCTGAAACTGCCTGGCGAGAATAGGATTAATTAAATAAAATTAAAATAAAATTGATTATGGGAGAATTCCGTTTCTTTCGTGTATATCGGAAAACACTCGGAATTGCGAAACTGTTCAAGCACCATTTCATGTATATGTAATTACTGTATTCTCAGTACAAAATATTCTAAATTCTTCTATGTATTTATCCGAAAGCAGCCACTTCTTTATAACGCCTGGTATGGTAACCAATACACATACATGAGCATAAATATGTGTCGAAATATACATGTACCTATTATGTGTTAACACATGACAGGACTCAAAATGTGACATACCGCACTATACAAGGCATTACAATATTATTATTTTGTTTAATAAAAAGGAAGAAATCATAGTGTCGCGATATATCTTTTAACATACTAAACTAGATATTAAATACTTTTCAACCATTAAATAGATGGGTGAAGGTCGTTTTTAATTCAGACAATATGGTTCCAATATTTGTTAACAGCGGTTTTATATATAAAGGACTTTTTTGCGAGTCAACGGTGTAGCACAGTGCAGTACCGGGAACTGATACTCAAATTTTCGCGAAGAACTGGAATAGGGCAAGACGGATGTGACGTCATCCAAATGTCAAAAATTCAGGTAGAACGGATAACCGCCCATCGTAGGTGAGGTACTAGCGGGTGACAGGCTTTATGTTAATGTTAATTTAAAAAACAGACACTTCATTGAAAATATTTCTTCGTAGTACCGAAAGTTGAGTTAAATTATTAAATCATAAATCGAGAAAAATGGAGGAATAGGTCCACCTGATTTTAAATGACGAGGGAGAAGACTATGGCATCATTTTTCGCATCATGCGCCACCTAACCACTCCCGCACGGGTATTACGTATCTTGAAAATTGACAATATGTCGATTTTTTTGACATTATATTGTTTTTTGTGACATTAGCTGATGGACATGTTGTGAACTCGTTTTGTAGTTGTACGTGTTGCCTAAACGTCATGAGGCTTCAGTTATCAATTTTTGGCTCTGATGTGATGTAAAATCTGCTTCAGAGATAGCATTACTGGAAGTAAACTGCAATGCTTAGGTGCAAAGTAAGGAATTGTGTGCTAATAATATGAGTTGATGATAATTGGATTCTTGTCTCAAATACACTTACTTGAGAGTCAAAGCTAGAAATTAGTTGCGCACCCACTTTTTCTTATCCTTTCTGGAAATTATATATGCAAATTTGCTGAATTAAAAAAATGAGAGAAAAAATTATATTCACTGCACGCTGTCGAATTACAAGTCATATACATGCTAACAGTAATTACACACAATGCGGGCGCGGTGGTGATTTCCCTTAATTCTCAAAGTTTTTGAAAAAAAAGGACAACACAAATATCCCGTCTGGCACAGCTAATAGTTATACTTCATTGGCAGCATATTCAGTAATGACTTTCTGACACAGCAAATACCACTGATTTTATACACATGCAGACCAATACACACAATCCAGATGCGATTTTGATATTCAATCAACTTTCTACTCAGAGATGAAAACTATAGACTACTCGGCTTTACAAAACATATGCAACTAGCAATGCGTGTAGACGTGTAGTTGAGTCATTCCTCCATAAATGAACGCTCACAACGATCCTATTGAGCAAAAGTGGTATGACTGTTTACACTTTAAAAGCTACCTAGTCTGCAAGATGACATTTTATATGTATTTTTAACGTTTTATCTCACGAAAAAACCTTTACAGCTTCTTATATTGACGAGTAACGTTTGTTTTCGTATGAATAAGCCCTGGGATGTACTCGAGCTATGTAGGGATTTTAAGAATGAAGTCGCACCATTCCGGAAACTGGAATGTCCTAATAACAGGTGAATGTCAACTTTCTAGAAAAAAGTACCTTAAAAGTCTCCCGAAATATATCGAAAATACTAGACATAAATAGAACTGACAACCAACTGACAAATTACTCAAACTGCTACCTAATAACTAACTGACAGCATACCTAACCTACAATTTGACAATAAATGACACAGAACTTAAAGATATCAAAACTGACACACTAGATGTCTGTGACCTAGGACACTATACAGTTTGTTACAATAGTATTCATGTATAAATTTAGTCACCCCGGAAGGTATGAGGAACCTTTTTGAAAGTTTATCAGTCTATCGGGTCAAAATCAGAGAGGTGAGCATTATGCTTCTTACAAAGTTTTTCCTATCAAAAGAACATGATATTGCTACAATAATTATTTCAAAATGTAGGTACTGTTCATAGTTACCAGGCACTTAGCATATTTATTTTTTATAATAATGTTTTACTTGATTTTAAACAAAAACAGACTTAAGTAGTCATTTCGGGAACACGTTCTTATACGATATTTCATAGTTCAGACAAGTCAAAAATGTTTACAATTACGAACTAAAAATGTCATACTTTTACATTAGCTTTGAAAATCATTAAATCAAGAATATATCGATAAATTAAATTCATATTATTTTAATTTCTTCATATTTTGGATATTAAAATGCTGTCTGACATTTATCAAATCATTCTGTGAACGCGGTTGGCGCTGGTCGATGTAATTAAAACAACAAACAATAGGTGGCGTTAGGGAGCAGCAGCGTGAAGTTCATCAAACAAAGAAAATGGAGTGTGTAGTGTTTACGGAAAAAATAATTTATTTTGTTGGTAAGTACTGTTTAATTTGATATGTATGTAACGTACTTCAATTCCTTGTCACTAAGGGAACGCTGTTTGATACTTCTTTCAAAATAATGATAAATATTACAGCTCACTTGCTCATAACCTCCATAGCCAATATTTAAAATGGCGGCATCAAGCGTAGCATGTAATTGTTTATAGAATAGTCATTTTGGGAACGGTCATTTCGGGAATGTTCTCGTCTATGACAGGCGTTCCCGAAATGGTAGCCGGTGAACAAAATGTCATACTCTAATTTGTTTAAAAAGCATACCTATACTAAATTTTGGTTTTAGGTAACATGGACAACAATAAAAATAAAGAGAATAAAAATTCCAAAAAACGATTAAAACATGATAGTATAGCTTATAAAAGGCATCGTGGAAATGATAATTCAAGGAAATGCAAGTTTTTAGGTAACATGACACGTGAACAAAAAGAGATGAAGAAACTGAAGGATGGGGAATATTGTTAAAATTGAGACTGCTAGTGATTTGACTAAAAGAGAGAAGAGGAAACAGAGGAACTCGTGGAGAAAAAATTCTCAAAAATATAGACAGGAAAAAGATGATGTTAAATATTTTAGCTAACAGCCCCCCAGTTTCTGAGAATGAGATGGAAAACGATATTTGCGTATTAAGGAAGAAATCTTGAAGAAAACAAATTAAAGAAGATAAAGCGCAGGTTTATAGAACCGTTAAAAAATAGAAACAAAGAATGCAAGACATGCAAAGAACTATAGATAAGTTGCGAAAAAGAAGTAGAGAGAAGTAGAAGACATGAAGAAAGAGCAGATCAAAAGAATGCAGATACGCCGAATTAAAAGACACCGCTGACAAATTACCAAAAGATTCTAAACAACGAGACGATTTTCAAAAATACGTCAGTGGCAACGGAATTCAAAAACATCGTTTGAATAATATGGCCAAACCATTTTTTCGCAAAACTAAAAATAGTGACAACATTTTAATATCAAATCGGAGGCGTCCAATGTATTTAATCACTTTTTTTTTATATCGAAACAGCCGCGCAGGCAGAAGCCTAAATGCCGGAACACCGCGGCTGCTATGATGAGGCCAAAGAAACTTTGTTAATACGATTTTTGAACTGCCTAAGGTTAGTAGAACTGGGAAAAGCTTCCTCCCGTAGATTGTTCCACAATCTAGACACCCTCGGGACAAAGGAGCGGTCGTATCGGCCAGTTCTGGATGTACGAAGTTTGACACGGTTAGGATGGGACGCCGAAGTCAGGCGGGTCTGTCTGGCAGGCACATTGCGCGGCGGCATCATGGAAGAGAGCTCTGAGGAGCAAAGACCGTTGGTGTAGCAATAGAAAAGAGCTGGATCGCCGACGGCCCGCCGGTGCGAAAGAGTCCCGAGACTGTCTGTTAGAGAAGAGTCATCGATCAGTCGGACCGCCCTCCTCTGGACACCATCGAGCATGCACAATGTAGTCGGGGCGGCAGCACCCCAAATGTGTGAGCAATACTCGAGGCTAGGCCTTATCTGGGCCGTGTATAGAGTGAGAAGGTCATGCGGAGAAAAGTACTTCTTAGCCTTAAACAAATAGCCTAGCTTTTTCCCAGCAGCTGCAGCTATTGAAGAGATGTGTTCGTGCCAGATCAAGTCCTCGGTGATCTGGAGTCCGACCAGCCGAAATGAATGGCTCTTTGGCAGAACTCGACCATCCATCGAAACCGGGTGAGCGCAGGGACGCTTTTTGTTCATCAAAGTACAGTACTGTATTTTGGAAGCATTGAACTGTACAAGATTGTTGCGTCCCCAAGCAGTGATAGCCTCCAGGTCTCTTGTCAGAGAAGAAGTCGTCGCTAGTCTTCTTTTTTCCAGCTCAGCGGCAGAGATCGGCTTGTCACTCTGAATTCCTGCATGTAGAGTGCTGTCATCAGCGAAGCTGTGGATTGGGTTGATCGTGCAGGAAAGGAGGTCGTTGATATGTAAGAGAAATAGTGTTGGAGCCAAGACCGATCCCTGGGGAACACCCGCGTTGACGTTGTGGGATGACGAGGAGAATCCGTCAATTACGACGAATATCTTGCGGCCCGAGATAAAGTCAGCCACCCATCTGCAAAGCTTTTCTGGGAGGCCATAGGATGGAAGTTTGCTTACGAGGGCAGCGTGCCACAGCTGATCGAACGCTTTCGTGATGTCAAGAGCAACGTCATGAGCCTCACCATAAGATGGATGAGTTAACTTCACAATTTCGTGACGTAAGCTAGGAGGTCCCCTGTGGATCGTTGGTGCCGGAAACCATACTGCCTGTCGCTAATCA